TATGACAAGGAATACAATATCCACGGTGATCGGAACTCCATGTGCCATCTGGTTCCCAACCGGCCTGGCTCCGGTGACATAGGCCTCTACGGCGACGCTAAGTGCGACGCGCCCAGGCTGCTCGTGGAATCGGCCGTGGCCGCCATGCGGAGCATCGAGCCGAACCCGGACTTCGTGCTATGGACCGGGGACAACCTGCCGCACGTGAAAGACGTCCTCTGGTCAGAGGTGTATGCGGAGATCCGGTGGCTCGCTCAGCGGCTGAGCGAAGCGTTCCCTGGGTGTCCCGTAGTGCCCACGCTCGGCAATCACGATTGTTCGCCACCTAATTATATGCGTCCCAACAACATGTCCATGTTCCTCTTTGATGCTGGCTTCAATGAGCTTCTGCCCTCGTCCTCCTGGAGCACCTTCGAGAAGGCTGGGTACTACAATTGGACAGTAAGCGGATCTCTACGACTGGTTTGCCTCAATAGCATTCTATGGTACACTGGAAACCGAGCACCGGCTCTCGAGAGAAGCGCGGAGGACCAGCTGGTGTGGCTGCACAAGCAACTTCGAGAGGCTCAGCGGTTGGGACAGAAGGTCTTCATCTCGGGACACGTGGCGCCGGGCTTCTACAGCCGCGCGGTGTCACCGGAGGTTGGTGTTTCGGGTCTGTTCCAAGACGGGATCAACGAAGCCTACCAGGATTTGATAGCGGACTTCACGGACGTGATTTCTGGGCAGTTTTTCGGCCACCAACACGGTAACGCTTTTGTGATCCTGTCTAACGCCAACGGGCGACCTGTGGGCAGCGCCCAGGTGGCCGCGTCGGTCACTCCATGGACCACATCAGACAAGTTTAACCGCAGGTTGTCAATTACCACGAACCCGATGGTGCGGCTCTACAAGTACAACCGTACCTCGACCAGGCTGCTCGACTACACCGTGTACTACCTTGACTTCGACAAAGCCAATAACCACCCCAATGAGACTCCAAAGTGGGAGACACTTTACACGCTGACGACGCAGTACGGTCTGCCCGACGCGAGTACCGCCTCTATGGTGAACCTATCCCAGCGGCTGAACAGATCTTCCGAACTCCTGGATGCGTACATCGGGCTGGCCACGGCCTTTAAGGATGAGTATCCTTGCGACTCTTTCTGCCGTCAAGTCCAGCTATGCAGTGTCTTGTGTTCTAGGGCGGGGCCTCACAGGCTATGCATGTCCACCTCCACCGATTGGGAGTGCAATGCCCCGTCCCCCGAGCCAGCCACCGATCGGCTTACCAGCTACCATGAGAACGTTCTTACTGGCGTGTTGCTGACCTTTCTCGTTGTCGTCTGCCTCGTGGTGGTGGTGCGCACCAAGTGGGATATGAGAATGTGAACGAGGAGGATGAGCAAGTCTGACGCAGTGCATGAAAAGGGGAACGGGACTTTGACGTGCACATCATGATGCTTGGAATGTGCGTGTCCGACTGGTTTGTTCACCATGTATTTAGTTACGTTTCTCGATCTCATGCTGGTGGCGTCTAAAGTGAGTAATGCAGGAGATTGCTGCTACCCTGACAATGGCGCAGCAACGGCAGTGTATAGGACAGAAGCCTGATCCGCAGTAGAATCTCGGGCGCTTAGCCAGTAGATGGGAACGCCGCAACCAATAGACTTCGCGACGCCCGTAACCCCCTTGCTTTCTTCGGCACTTCTACAACCAACCACCAGGAGTATCTGGCAACTGTGGCGACATATTTAGTTACCAGCTCGAGGAACTTCGAAGCGTAGACGACATAGGACGCTAAATAATCAGTTGAAGACGAGTTTTATGAAGGCGCCACATTCAAGAATAGTAATGGGAGGAAAATGGAAATTTAACAGTCGCGAGAATGGTTCGACTTCGACTGTGACCAATTTCAGCTTAGCACAGGTGCACCGAGCATCAAGGTATTGTTCATTTCAGTTTGTTTGTTTGTTTCCTGGAAGTGAAGCCCAGAATACATGTGCGCACTCGACAGCCGCGTACACGTTCCTGGAAAAGAAGGAAAACAGAAGCGGAAGTCAGTTGTCAGTTTGTGAATGATTTCCCCTTATAAGTTTGATGACATGCACGTCGACCACATGTATACACGGCGTGCATGTGACCGTCGCTTCACCGTGATAGGTCCAAGAACGTAACTCCAAGTAACGTCTGCTTAACCTGCGTGTTAAGATTATTTCTTGATTTCTACGGCGTTTGTAAAAAAGCGGAAATACAAATCATACCAGAGCATCTTCTACCTGCAAACGGATCGACCTTTGTAACGTGCATCCTATATATTTATGCTACAAAATTTTCTCACGCGATGTACAGTGCGCTGCAATATGAAAGACCCACTGGGAGTGCGTTGCCGAGGCGGTGGCTGGCGGGGGCGCTGCGAGCGCTCCGTGCAATTTCATTCTGGTTCGAGTGAAGAACGCTCACTCGGGGCTCAACACAAACTGATAAGCGCGTTGACCTTCAGCTGAGCGTCGAGTGAGCGTCCTCCCCTCGAAGCAGAATGGAATTGCCCGGAGCGCTCGCAGCGTCCCCGCCAGCCACCGTCTCGGCCACGCGCTCCCAGTGGGTCTTTCATATTGCAGCGCACTGTATATGTCTTGGCTATTGCAACTGATAAGGACAGACGCCTCCCACGTTGTTATTCTCAAGCTGATTTAGTGGCTTCAATTGGTATTATTATCACTGACAGGTTGAGAAACTGAGGGCGGGGCAGACCCCGAAAGTCTCATTATCGCTTGGCAGCCAATGCGTTTGCAGAAGTAACACACGAGAATGACAAAGAACAAATGACGAGGTAGTGGCGTGAACTTAATAAGCCATGTTATGGTTTTTTTATGCTGTCGGTGACTAGGTAAGCGAGATGTCTGACGGCACGTAAAAGTACGTTAAAAAAAAAAAAAAGAAAAAGGGGACAAATACGCGCACCACTATCCAATTCGCTTTTTACTTTTTTTGCTGCTATACATAGATGTTTTGTTTTATGCAACTGTAGTCTAATCGAAAAGCAAGACGTTAGAGTATGGGTGCATGTTCACCGAAATATTTCAATCAAGTTAGAGTAGTCGGTCTCACATTCGAGTGAGCATAAATTAAATAATTATTATGATTGCGCCCTATGCATCTCTACGAGGTCAATCATGTTTGTTGATCCTGTTCCCGCAGGTTTAAGAAGGCTAGGCTTTTTGCGTGCTATTCAGGTTCGCGCGTTTCGCGATAATTTGTGCAAGCCAGAAGCTGATATATTTTTTTTTTTTTACGAGAAAGGTGCACAGGACAATTTGTACCCCCGTGAAACCAAGATGCCTTGATCACAAATTATTTGGTTCCCGGTGTATTGCAGGCAATAAATATTTGAGGCGGTATATGTTTTTTTTCTTTTGGTTTTTGTCGTGCCTGTTTTCCTTTTCCTTTCTTTTTAAAGTGGTATTTTTCGCTGCTGTAGTTGTTAAAACTTGTTTTAGGCCCAAACAATTGCAGGCGATACATAGGGATGTACGACTAAGCGCCATGCAGTGTTTTTTTGTCGTGTTGTGGCGAAAGCAAAGACACATACACACAGAAAAAAAGTCTGATACCCTTTAAATAAGGGCATTGACCTTGCACAACGAGGGATTCTATTTAACTTTTAAAAATACATCAAAATGAGCACCTATTCTGCCCTCTCATGCTGTGCTTCGAGTACTGTGTTGTGTGAAGTATTAATAGATGCTCGGTGGAAACATCTGTTCCAGACTGCAGCGTTAGAAAGCGAGCAAAGTGGCGCGCATATATCTTTTTGAAAGCTGACGCTTGTCTAGTAATAAATAATAATCGTCTGGTGTGTATGTTTATACAACCGGAAGTTAGTCAGCTGCAATGGGCGTAGGGTGTCTCAGCTGTATATGAGCAATTTAGCCAGTGCAGTACAACCGCTAGCCTGGGGTCTTTAACGTGCACCACGCAGTAGTGATACACGACCGCACGCCGGTACGATGCTCATCCAGAGCGAAACGAGTAAGGGCGGGCATTGAACCGTTTGTCTCGTAGGTTCCGCAAGTAATTAAGACGCGCAGCATCTACACAACAACACAAACAGCGAGGCTTCTTCAACTAAAAAAAAAAATTTTAGATGCATTGGGCCCATAGCCTAATGCATTTAAAGGCTGGTTTGCACACTTGCGACGTGCTTACGACCGTGTACCTTAAAGGCCGACGACCAAATTTGAGATTCTGCAAGGCAGAAGACCCTCCTCACCATGGGGGAGAGTGAAACAGGCAACGGTGGACAGGGTAGAAGGGGGAGAGGAGGAAGCGAGGGAAAAGTGGAAAGCGCGAACTGGTCGTCGGTCTTTAAGACCTTTGAAAATATTTTACGAGAGACCACACTGGCGCCATCTATTGGGCAGCCGGGGCAAACTCGACAATTGGGTATATTTACTATGTTTTTTTTCGCGCATCATTTTTTTCTTTTGGGCTTGTAAAACTTTTGATAATGTAATAAAATACCATTTTTTAGATACTATGCACATTTCATCTCGCAAATATTTTAAAACCTTTGCTGTAGTGAAATGCAGTTTTAGGGTAACATTATAGATGGCGCCATAGAGCCATTCTAGTCTCTCTTCGTAAGACGTCACAAAAACTCGATCGTAAGGAAACGCGAGGGTGTGAACGGCCTTTTTAAAGCGGACGCCAAAGGTCTGAAGCGGTTCACATCGCCCGCCATTGCTTTGGCGTTCTTGAAATATCCAAACATTAATTGAGCCCCTTGGAGCTCATATAAATCTTGAAGCCGCTGGAAGAGCGAGATAATGACGGCGCTCCATATATCACAGATAGTGCTATCACCAGACAGTTGCGCTTCCATACCAAGCACGCACCGAATCAGTTTTGCAGCCGAGAGAACGACTCTTATCGGACAGTTCTGAGCTTATCGGCTGTCGCGAAACCCGCAACAGCTGTCGTTTCCTCGGGGAACAGACGGGCGCCGTAGAAATATTGGAGTCCTCCTCGGGATATGTCGGTGTCCGTGTGTTCCAAGCGGCGGTCTGAGCTGGGCGAAGGCCCACACTGGGACTCCAGTTCGGGCACCTTGGTGCACATCGACGCCTACGTGAACGACGTGTGCCGGCTGGACGTGGCATCGCAGGAGACGTCCACAGTTCGCCTGGGTAACTTGTTGTCTCCTTTCCCTTTGTAAACAATCAACAAAAGAAAAAAGAAAACATCGACAAAAAAAAGAAAAGAAAAGAAGACGCTGTTTTGAGAAACACGTTTAACGAAAGAACAAGCGCAGCCTTTTGTGGCGGCTTTGAATGGAACGTGCCTCGCCATTCCTCGCGTGCCATCATAATCTCCGCCACTCTCTTTGCGCAGCCAAACAGCGTCGTCGTTCGTTGCATCCCAAAACCGCCTGACGAAACTTTTGGAGATTTCTAGATGTTGCTAAATCACCCGCAATGCGGCGCAATGCCTGTACTGATTTTTTAAAATCCTTGTAACGTCATTTGTACAAGAATATCACTCCGTTTTACCGTAATTTAGCAAAATGGAGAACGCTATCAACCTAAGAAATCTGAGGCGTCTGCTTTTCCGCACATCACTTGGTACAGCCAATCGCGTGCAATCGAAGGAGTGAGCTTGGCGAATGAAAAGGCTGATAAAATGTTGAGGTTTGACAAACAATCTGCGCTCTAGAACAGAGCGCGGTAAAACGTTATCCTCAGTGCCACAGCCTAGACTTTTTCTTGAGGTCTATGCACGTTTTTAGCCTCGTCATTGCAGCGGTTGGCGCCCCCAAGTGATATTTGGAAGAACAGATGCTCAAGATTTGTAAGAGTGTACGTCCTCGCTCCCTCCCTGAGCCAATCAGAGGGACGGGCGAAACACGTCACAGCTCTCCTTGAGAGGAGTGCAGTCTGACGGTGGGTTGGGGCACGTGCTTCGCTCCGATGCGGTGATTGGCTCACGGAGCCCGTAGTTTTTAGCCGTTTGCCAAGTTATATTCAGACGGAGCCTAAGTGGTGTCAATGAAAGCTTAATTAAATAATCCAGAGGGTGCAGCTAATTCTCTTCGCGCTTCTTGCTTCGTGATTCGTTCCTACATGTTAGCGGAAAATGCCGCAATATCGCTGGCTGCTAAACGAGGATAAGATGGTTGAGTTCGCCACACCCTGCGTTTGTTAACGAGTCTGGTTATAGCGCCCTTGTAAATATATAAAAAAAGTTCATAAGAATGTTTTGAGGAAAGCGAAACTTTTCTTATATTCTGCCATATGAAGAGAATAACGAAAAAAATCTCTGCAGACGGCATCGTGACATTCGTCATTCCGTACCGATCCGACCCAAACCTGAGCGTGGTCACGGTGAACCGCCAGGTCCGGAAACTGGAATGGACGACCGGCGCAACGGAGCTGCTGGCCGAGGTAGAGCCGGACCGACCAAACAACATCTTCAACGACGGCAAGTGCGACGCCTCGGGTCGCCTGTGGGCAGGTGGGTTGTTCATCATCCGGCTCCCGAAAAGGGCACTTGGTCTCTGAGAGGGCCGGTCGGATGATGCCGGATATATTCAATCTGATGGATTCCTACTGCCTAAATGAAACCTCTTGTAAACTTCAAACTTGCATCCGGCTTTTTGCAAACTATGACGTGCAAGTTCGCGCGCTCCTTGCGCACCCCCTCCCTTTGTTTACCCCTATCATATTCTCCTCTATAGGGGGCATTCACTGGACGCCATATTTGAGGGCGATGTTTAGGGCGCATGCTCAGAACGAGCTTACATTAATAGCCTGCTAAAACCGGCAATCTTGATGGTGTGTAATGCACGTTGCAAATGAACTGTGGAAGCTCGCCGTCAGCACGCGCTCAGCAACCACGCACACAGATATGGCCGCCAGTGAATACACCCTATACTGACAAAGCCTGGCAGATCACCACGAGAAGCTTCCGCCGAAATTGAAAAGGTAAAGCGGCAGACAGCGGATGAGAAAAGAGCCACGTGACGGTCGCCCCGCTGCGGCGAGACGCCGAAACCCACTTCTCCCCAGCGATGGAATGTCCGCTCATGCTTTTCGCGTTCCTCGCGCTACCGCTTCTTTTCTCGTCGGGTTGGAAAACCATGTTTCGGGTCCTTGCCGCTGCAAAAGCTTTGCGCTTCCATCCAGGCTTCCCGAGAAACGCTCTGTGCTACCAGATTCTCGCGCTCCAAATCTGCGACCGGGCATACTATATGGCTCCATCGTCGAACCGCCAGGCTTTGTGAGGATAGAGGAGGCTATATGCCTATATTGCGCCCACGTGCGTTTCTTTGCCCCGGGACCTCAACCAGAGCCGGCGGAAGCGTAGCTGCCTTATCATCGCGCCTTCTATATATATCGCGTTCTCTATGTTGTCCTTTGATTGACATGCCCCTCTTTGCATTTCGCTGAGCAAACGGCGCATTTTAGAGCAATTTCTCGCTACATACTTGGTAAAATATACTTTAGAAGAGAGCCAGATAAGACTCAGGACTTGTGTGATTCTTTCGCGAATAGACCCTTTTCAAAAGTCCGCCGCCAACACCTCTCCACCATTGCTTGATCACATACTCTGAGCACGAATTGCACACGAGGGTTGGGTCAGCGGGGGGCGTGAACTCGACTTAGCTCGAATTGAACACGAGTGTAACGTAGGCGTTCGGTTAGCCCTCGGATCCAATCATGTGCTTCGCGTCCAAGATGGCGACCGCCAATGTTGCTCGATGGACTTTTGAAAATGATCTATTCTTTGAGAAAATTTGTTTTAGACTAGAATCAGAGCGCAAAACAGCCCGGTATAGTATAAAGGCCCGTTGACACTCTTGCGACCTCTTAAACCTGGGTTCCTTAAAACTTCTTAAACCAGAAAACACACTGGCGCCATCTATTGGGAAGCAATGTAAACTCGGCGGTCCGGCATATTTTTTTTTTTATTTCTCGCGCATTATCCTTTATTTCTTGGCTCGAAAAACTTTTGTCATTGTTATAAACGAGCCTTTCTATGGGTATTACGCACATTTGACCTCGGAAATCCCGCAAAACCTTCGCTCTTGTGAAATGCAGTTCCAGGGTCACCGCATAGATGGCGCCACAATGCCAGTGTGTTCCCTCATTCTAAAAACATTTAAGAAGTTTTAAGAGATCTCGTCTCTCTCAGTCGTACTCGGTCGCAAGAGTGTGAACGGGCCTTTAGACTTCCAGCACGTTGCTGTTTATGTGTTCTCTTTGACTCTTTGATACGTTCGTACGCTTTTGGCACTCTACTATATCTACTAACCCTGGGCGCTGCTGCCGGAAGACCTCGGGTGTGTGTATTTAGAAAGTTGTATTAAAAGCTCGGTGTTTCTTTTCATACGAATAGTCTGAGACTAGGATAGTGTACAGATACAAGTTATGCAGCGGACCGAGGAAAACTCGCTAGCATTTAGGAACCAGCGATGGCCCCACGCGAATCAGCAAAAGAAGTCGTACGATAAATCGCTCAAGATGCTCCTTATGTTCGTAATCAATTCGAACTAAGGAAAAACAACAACGCGCGCAGTATTCGACGCGAAAACTAAAATATTATAATTAGAATGAATAACGAGGGTATATTTTTCGTTCTCGCATCCAGGGACAATGGGCAGGTACAGTGACGACGACCCCGTACAGGAAAGTGGGTCCCTGTACAGCTTCGAAGCGAGCAACTTTGAGACGAGGACCCACGTGCAGCAGCTGGGCATTTCGAACGGGATGACGTGGTCTCTGGACAACGAGACGATGTTCTTCAACGACTCTCTCAAACGGAAGATTTACTCGTTTCGCTTTTCAGCGGAAGACGGAACGCTCAGTGAGAAATTCTGTTTCTCATTATACAAATCAACCCATTTTTGAAATGTCACGCCGAAGCGGGGCGCTGACTAGCACTGAACACGGGTAGAAGCTTTGCTCATAAAAAAGGAAGTTACTGCGTTTTGCTTTGTGCCCGCAGAGGGAACTAAAATACATGCTGCCCTGTAAATGATAGGTTACTGTGTACACGTCTTATGCAGCATTACTGAAGGTACAGGTAGAAGAACTGAGCTCCACGAAATGCGTTTTATATTTTCCTGGCGCTCGTGTAAGAAAATATTTCGAAAGTCACGTCCTCGTATCAGCACGTTCCGGAAACTCACACGAAAACTAATGGGACTGAGTGTGAGTCAAAAACCGTAAAATCAAATTCGTATTCCATAAACACAAGCCCGCGTTTTCATTTTTTTTTTAAAGTCGACAAGGTTGTTGTTTGTTAGAACGTTCTTTATTGCCCTGTTATATACGTATAATATATGTATATATATATATACCATATACAGATATAATGCACCACTGTCATCTGCATCGGTGCAAGGTAAATCCGAAAAAAAAGGCCTGGTTTATTACAAGCAATACAAACATCTGCGCCCCTCATTGTCGACAATGTCAGATGTTCAGAACATTCTTGAACGGTGGCGCCTGGCTCTTTATTACCTATTACCACATTACTGAACCTATACATGTACATGAACTGACAGCTTCAGTGCTTTCATCTCCGTCAACCTTCGCCAAAGCGTCGCGTGTTCATATGTTTGATTTTTTAGCCTGACATCGAAGCAGCTATGAACGAGGGGTCCTAGGGGATACGTTCTAACTTTTTATTTCTCGCTCCGTCTCCAGGAGACAAGCAGGTTTTCTTAGACTTCGCGACCAACCCCATGTTCAAGGATTGCGGTGATCCCGACGGCATGACCCACGACGTCGAGGGGAAGCTTTGGGTGGCATGCTGGGACGCCTCGAGAGTCATCAACATTGACCCAGAGACAGGTGAGATAGCCTAATATATTTCAAAGTTTGTCAATATATTCACTTAAACATACGTTTATTTTTGTTTCATGGCGTTATTATAGATTCTCTTACGATTCTTTTGCATCGGAGTCAAACGATCGCGCAGTAAATTCTGTGTTAATTGAATAACCAATTTATCACTGCTGTGCTTCCTAGGCAAAACGTTATTATCACATGCGTTGAGGTGACCCACAAACTTTTAAGCTAGTTAACAATGTAATCATTGATTAAATTTCTAAAGGAAGTAACTGATGTCATAAGAAAAAACGGGACGGAACGTCTCAAGCGCAGGTTGAACGTGTTTTCCGCAATGGCCACAGTACAGGTACGGCAGGCAATTCGGGCCAGTGACGTCCCATCATGCGACTCGAGCAGTATTGCATTATGGGACGTCACAGAGTTACACACCAATTCAGTTTTCCCGCCAAATTTAGCGGGGAAGGTGAATTGATGTACAGGTCACGTGACATCCTAGGTCACGTAACCTATACACCAGTTCAACTTTCCCGCTAAATTTAGTGGAGAAACTGAATTGGTGTGCAGGTCTGTGATGTCCCATAATGCTACATTGCGCAAGCTTCATTATGGGACGTCACAAGCCACGGCTTCACTAAATGCGGCTGCACAAAGTCCGAAGCAACTAACCAAAAAAAAAAGTTTCACGTATAAAAAAAGAAAAGAATAAACCGAACGTGCGAGGCACAGATTTGTAATAAAAAGCTAATGAAGCACGTGCGGACCCTTTCCACAGTAAACATTGAGAATATATTATGAAACAAACTATTGTCACTGACAGCTTAACAAAAGCACAGTGCGTGGAGTCACAAAGATCTTATTATCGGTCGGTAATAATTGAGAATGCGGCGTTAGCCAATAAGAACACCAACAAACCGATCCCGAAGCAACGCGTCAAGAAGCCACGCCGTGCGTTTCTCAAGTTGTCCGTGGCTATGCAGGGTATGCGCGTCACTTCCGGCCGCCATCACAGGGTTGGAGAAATACTTCCGGTTCTTTTATGCTTACCTCGTGTTTGGGGTGGGTGCTCGACGACTCTTGGCTCACTAGGGAGCAATTCCGCCGAGCCTGGGTGATCGCAGGACGACGGCATTGGCAAGCGGTATGAGCCCACTTCGATATGCCGCCGACAGATGGCGCAACGTGACAAACGCGAGAATAGGGTGCCGGCGCCACGGCGCCTCGACCGACCATCTACGTACAACGATGATGGGCCATTCTGGCCCGTACAAATGCAACGGGCAGGGTGATCTGGAAAAGAAACCTTGAATACCAAAGCGAGCGAGTCAAAACTCAAGAAAGTTGGGAATGGCAGACTGGTGTCGTGCTAAGGGAAGCGCAATAAAATTCTTTCGGAAGATTCTCTGCTATAATTAGGACCCGGTTCGGCGACCCCTGCAGGGAAACTTGCCGCGTATCTTCGGCGCCTGGGGCAGGTAGGTGCCCACCGACGCTGCCTTACCGTTCACGAAGTAGTTGAGCGCATTTAGGGATTTGTAGGTTTTAAGTCGTTCTCAGGTATATGGACCCGGCTAGTCGAATAGGCAGTCGTGAAGATGCGCCCACGATACCCTCGTCAGATTTGTCATTTCTTTGAAGAACAAATGCTCTTTGTTTTCACCCAGGGGAACAGGAAGAAATGTCGATCCCGTGTAAGCAAATTTCAACAGGTACCGCAGTTAGTCCTGGGCGGTGAGACTTTTAAAGTATGCGGGACTCACTGAAGGCACTCAAAAACAAGCAAAAACAATAGCCAACCGGAGGTAACATACTCCCCTCGAAAGTTCGGCCATTACTTGTTTCTTGTTTACCTTTGTATAGCCTGTATAGGTTTTTGCATATAATCGTTGGTTCTTGTGATTTACTTTACAATGTTAGCAAGGTGGTTCTGGTGGAGTTTTGCGGTCTGACTTTTCTGAAACCCTGTATGATTTATACTTTTGTTTTTCAGAGTTCTTGTATGTAGTATTCAAACGGAACTTTAACACCTTCGGTTGTTGACCTTAGCCGGGTGCTGCTAACACACGACCGTTTTCAGGAAAGCTGCTGCGGCAAGTAGCGTTTCCGGTTTCGAGACCCACCTCGTGTTGCTTCGGGGGACCAAATTACGACGTGTTGTACGTCACATCCGCCTGGAGGGGACTCAGCGCCACACACCGGGGGTGCCAACCCCTGGCGGGAGCCGTATTTCAAGTTGCCAACCTGGGCACCAGGGGGCTTCCGGCTAACACGTTCAACCGCTAGATGTACATAAAGACGCTTAAAGCTTGGAATAAATGCTCTCGCAGCAGAATTTAATCCCCTGTCACTGGATAACTCCACTACCATCTCTCCATGTTCCATTTCCTTTATGTAATTTTTTTCCGAGCTCGTAAGAGGGTGGGCTGCTACAGGACGATCGTTCCGGTTTAACCACTCTACTTTTCATCCACACTGAGTGTGCGTATACACGGTGTTTCATCAAAATCGCACCAATATATTCCTGTAAAAAGTATGCATCCAATTGCACTGACAATAGTTAAAATATATAGTTTTTATAAAAAATAAAATAAATATATTTTGTCCTTATTTAAAACAAACCAAAATATATTCTTTTTTTCGTAATTTCAGCTTGCTTTATTTCTTTCTAACAGACTATGAAATCACAATAATTTACCCACGCGCATCCCACTTCCGTTTAAGAGCAGCGAATAAGGTCTCATACACTTTCAATCTTTGGAGGCAAGGAGAGGAGATGTAATGGGGAACTGCTTGGACGGCACGAAAATTCTTCTGTGAATGAAGGTTCTAGATCGAAACGCCGAACGATGTAAGACGAGCGAAAATTATTGAGACAGGAACTTTGGAGTTAAGACGAATCCTTTCCTTACCCAACTGTTGACAAATCATTTGAATCAGTATACTGACGTTCTTGTCACAGAGGCAGGCAGAAGCGGGCTCAAGGTGGCGCTTTTGATCCACGAATGGCCGGTGTTGCATCATCCAAGTACTTCATTACAACTCGTAAGCTTCATTTACTTTGGACAAATAGCTAGGTAAACCCGCACGCTGACAAACCTATAACAAGCACAAAAAGTCTAGCCATAGCCAGCCTTTTTGTGGATAATCACAGTGCACTCGAATAGGAAAGTACTAAATTATGTGATCGCAAAACAAATCTATAATAGAATAAAGTTAACTGCTCTGCTTTTTTAAAATCGAAAGTGTACTAATTTAACTTCCTTCTCTAAGTAGTTCACACTGCAAGTGTACTATAAAGTGAGTGTCAGCTAGGCGTGGTTTTTGTAAGGTAATTGATCGTAATCTCCTCAAGTTGATTAATTTTGTCAATAAATGCTGGAAAGGAAAGTGGTAAAGTCGAATCTTGTTAATTCAAACTCAAAGGGGAGGCTGAGGCTGAGGTAGGTTTTAAATGCGCTGACGCTAGCTGTAAAAGTTTAATTGCTGAGAATATATCGTACGAAGCGGTTTTGAATGACTTTTATATAAAACTTTTAAGAATAACTGACGGGGATTCCTTTAATATCATGGTATCAGTTTCCCCACGGAAATACCTCTGATAATTATCACTGGATCAGGTTTTAGCGATCCTTACCGGGCTCCAAAAACGTCAAGGACACATGCAGTCCTTAAAGGTAATCCGTTACAGCTAACGAATTGCTTGTAATTTATTTCTTTTTGATGTAATTTTACAATTGCCACATTACATTTTCGCGACAGCAGTTTGCACAGTAATTTAATAACAAACGATCTAATTTTTTTTTACAACGGCAGTTAATCCTATATTTCCAGTTCATTGACAGGGCATATTTAACGCTTTAAGTGGATCATGCAATAGAAACGTGACCCTATGCAATGTAGCGCTGCTTTTTTGTTTTTGTTTCTAGCCATGAGTTTACTTTTATTGCTATATTTTGCCGAAATCAGGCGAAACCACGACTGAATCATCAGGACGTCATATAGTTGTAATCAATTGCATGCGCCAGTAGAGCCCAAATAATTTCCTTTGATAGTTTATTGGCGTTTGTTGTGCACTCTGGGCACTGGAGTTGGCATACACACGAAGAGCCAAGGTTAGAAAGTTACATATTCTGTTCATGCTCCTCGAAGCTCTGCAAATTTAGACAAACTATAAGTTGATTGGGTTGTAAGGTATGAAACATCATTTTCGTCCCGTTTCCTTAGATCTAACTTACCACAAGATTGTAAAACCTTGCACTCTATTTTAAAATTTTTTATTCTTGTATTTGGCGTGGAGTTTTTATCGATACTTTGCGAGGGAAGACAGCGTTGTCTAGGGAACGGAATGGGCACGAGCTTATATCAGTCGAAAAAGGTTTGGCGCGTACGAGCATCTAGTGTGTGCAACCAGGGGCGGATGCAGGAATTTCCTGAAAGGGGGGGTCAGGTGTTGGTGACCGTACCATGTGTTTAGGAACACCCTCCCACTCTCATTCTTTTCACGCCCTAAATTTTACACATGCAGAAATCAAGAGGAGGGTCAGGACATCCGGACCCCTCTTCTAAATCCGCCCCTGGCTGTCGCGTTCATGCAACGTCCGATACTGGAAGCTCCGCCCTCAGCACGAGCTCTCTACCTTCGACGGCATTTCGGAGCCTCGTTAGTACGCAGTCAAAGCACGACGGAAGACAGCCGACGCGGACTAGAGGGGCATCTACTGCAATCTTACCCTAGCTGCCACAGGCAGATAAGGTAAAACTCTAGAAAATTAGACGCGAGAGCATTCTTGGGTCGACCAGCTGGAGTGCGCTGGCAACGCTGGAGGCATAGAAGGAAAACAGCATAAAAGGGATGGGGACCGGACGCTCCACTAAGCTAGATAACCAAACATTCATGATTAACATTTTGAGTTAACCACATTTCTCGCGAATATATATACAGGGTGCTTCATGTAAGAGTGACAAAAATTCCTAAAATTACTTTATTCGAGATAAAAAGATAAACTTTCTCGGGACCGCGTTACTCAAGTTGGCTGACGTCAGAGAATGGGCGATACTTACTAATTACTTTTATAATTAATTAAAAATGACTACTTAACTTTTTATTTAGTGAAAATAGACATGCGGTTCCAATTAGGAAATTGCTGAGCGTCATCGAAAGCCACTAGAGAAATAATTTTTAGAAAGACTTTGAGAGCATGAGAAGCGTAGTGCGCAAAGTTACCACTCGTGGACCAGGTACAAGTCCGGGGCTTATATAAGAGACAGAAAAATCGCCCGGGCGCCTTGCGGCAACCGCTAGCCTTCTACTTACTTCACGAGTACTATACTACTATAGTAGTAGTACTCGTGAAGCTACTACGTTTCTCACGCGCTCAAAGTCTTTCTGAAAATGACTGACTTAGTGGTTTTCGATGACGCTCAGCAAGTTTCGAATTAGAACCAAATGTCTATTTTCACAAATTAAAAGTTAATTAGTCATTGAATTAGTAAATATCGAGAATTTTCTGACGTCCGTCACCACGAGTAGTGCGGTCCCGAGAAAAATATTTTTTTTTTTACCTCGAATACACTAATTGTAAGAATTTTCGTCTCTCCTACGAGAAACACTCTGTATATAGACAAATAACGTTGAACTCCTTTCTTGGTGGAGAGGTTCTAGAATATCAAGAAAAACTGGGAATAAAGAACAAGCAAAAAATAGTGCAAAAAAACTTATTTGTAGTTGCAGGAGTTCAAACATGTCAATTTTCTAGTACTTCGACGGCAGCGAATTTGCTCAAACACAACAAGATGTAGAACAAAAATTTTTAATATTTTTTTGTTTGACCCGTTTAGATAACGTAGAAACAGACAAGAGGTGGTCGTGTTCACGTCCTGCTTCGAGTTTTTAACGGCTTTACCTAGTGCCGCGGTCTAACTTACATTCCTCGTCCTTAACGTTATTCACAAAAAAAAAAAAAAAGCATTATGTTTACAGCAGCCGGTAACTCCAGCTTTGCAAGAGCAGTTGCCTGATTTCAAGGGCATGCGACTGCGCAACTGTACGCTAAAAGACAATGCAAACAATCGTCATCTTTGTCACAATAACGCAAGAGCATAGCGCAATCATAAAGAAAAAATATGCGTTCTGAGGTGAATGTCGCAAAGCTTGAGAAACAAATCCTGGGGATCGCATTGTTAACAACTAAACAATGCAATCGAAGCCGTTTTGCACTTGCAAGACGCACTTCGCCGACGGCAAATGTTTTTTTCATTGGATTATATCCTTCACCCGAGATACCTGGCACACCACCAGCCTTCCTTTGCAAGAAATCGCCTCTCTATTAAAAAACAAAAAAACAAAAAAAGAAACACCGTTTTTGAAGCGACATAAGCCTGAATAACATTCCCGAATCACTGCTTGCCATTGCAACGAAGCACGAGGAGCGAACGGCGCATTAGGGCAATTTTGAGCCACGGCGCGGCGCCTCTGTCTCTCTCCAACTAGAGTTCCTGTATAGCTACCATAGGCTCCCGTAGGGAGCCTATACAGGAACTCTATCTCCAACGCGCCCCCTGGCCTAGCCGGACAGTTTTATACTCCGTTTCTGAATACAGTCAATACACGAAATACTGAACCAATATTCGTTCGCACTAATAGATTAAAGTTATCACCTTTTGCACTCTTTTTACGGTAACCGGACAAAAGCTCACCGGACAGAAGCTCACCGGACAAAAGCTCAAGCGTTTTTTTCACAAACCCAGATAAACGCTCACTGCTTTTTTTGGGCTATCTGGGCGAAACACGGGCTGGGCTAATGTGCAGACGCGATGGACACTGCAGCATTTTTAGGAGGTTGCTTCTTCCACCTTTGCCAGAGCACGCCGAGAAAAAAAGGTAAGCCGAAAAAAACAATTCTACCACTGTCAAAGGGAGCGTGTTGGTAAGAAACATAGAGCGACAACACTTTTCCTAGATTTATATTGCTGTGACGGTTCGTCTTGTCACTTCTGCTCTCTGGAGTCTGTTGGTCCTCCAGGAACAACTTGCTAAGAAAATAGCTAAACAGTCACCTAAAGGATAAGCACAATGTTTCTTCATTACTAATGCATGGGTGTTCTTGGGGTTCAGATTAATATTTCAAGTGAATGGTTAATAAACTCAAAATATTTCCGTCATTTTGCGTCGTAAATGTATTTAAAACCAAGGATTATCTCAGGGTGATGTCAAATAGAAACTGAGGCAAAACTGTATTATACAAACCATTTAGTTCCGAATGTTTTAACAATAATTTTCCGATACGAGAGTTTGGCGTTCTGAACAAGTAAAAGACTGACGACAAGTTTATAAAG